TATGCCGCTTTGAGGGCACATAGCCAATGAGATTGCGAGACTAGCCCGGATGTGGGGATTCTCCTTGGGCGGAAGTTGCGCACCAAAGGGAGTTACCCTTGAAGGAAACGCAGGGCAATGGGCAAGAACGGGGTTCTATCATGATGCGCTTGCCAAAAGTTGATTGCCTCGTGATTTTATTCCATAGCTCACTCTTGGTGGCTTCACATCATTTTGGTCTTCCAACTTTCACGAACGTCTTCCACGCCAATGCTATGCAAGCACCACCCCCACCATCACCCAACCAAAACAATTACAGGCAAAAACATTCACACAACGGCAGATTACGAATCATTGGAAAATTGTCTCTATAAATATATCAAATGACCATCCATGACACCAGATCGCCAACACCGCCGTATTATGCCCAAAACACCAACCATTCCATACCCGCAGCTTAGTCCTCCAAGCTCTGGATCATGACCTTGATGGCGCCCGTCTTCGGGTCCCTGGCCGTCTCGAACGCATCGAGCGCGTTCTCCAGCTTGAACTTGTGCGTGACCAGCTTGCTGAGGTCAATTACGCCGCTCTCCACCAGACGAATCGCCCTGGGCCAGGTGTTGCAGTAGCGGTACTGCAGCTGGATGTCCACCTCGCGCACACTGGCACGCATGAAGGGAAAGCTGATCTCGTTGCGTCCAACACCAATGATGAAGACCTTGCCGCCGAACTTGCACGCCCACACGGCCGAAGCGATACTGCTCTCGACGCCGGTGCACTCCATGGCCACAGCAGGCTCAATGCCGCCGAAGGACTCGACAATGCGCTTCGCCTCCTCCTCGGCAGTGCCGCGCCCGACCTTGTGGGTAATGGCCGTGGGCACCAGCTCCTTGGCGAAAGCCAGACGGCCGTCGTCGATGTCGGTGACAACCAGCGGGCAGGCACCGGCAGCCTTGGCGCAGAGGAGGGTGATGAGACCGATGGGTCCCGCACCGCAGACGAGCACTGGGTCACCGAGGCGCACACCGGCACGCTGCATACCAGCCAGCGCCACACTCAGCGGCTCCAACATCGCACCGTTCTCGTATGTCATGTTACCGATCTTGTGGCACCACACGGCCGGGTGGTTGACATATCGCCGCAAAAGGCCCGGGACCGGCGGGGTGGACAGGAACTGCACCTTCTCGCAACCGTTGTAGCGACCAGTGAGGCACGGCTCGCATTCGTTGCAGATGACGTTCGGCTCGACGGCAACTCGGTCGCCAGGCTTGAGGTGGGTGACGCTGGGGTGGACGGCAATGATTTCACCAGCGGACTCGTGGCCGAGGATGTGGTCGCCATCGACGATCATGGGTCCGATGCATCCGTGCTTCCAGAAATGAACGTCGGACCTATGCGTCTGGTCAGCCTTGTTCAAAGTCTCTCCGGTTTTCGAGCTGGTGACTTACCCGCAAATGCCGGTGCTTCGGATGGCAATGGTGACTTCGCCATTCTGCAGTCCCTCTCCGGCCTGGACAGCCTCCAACTTGGGCTCGGCCTCGGTGATCCAGAGATCGTGTGAGGGGTTGGTGAAGACACCGATGTTAGCCTTGGACGGCTTGACGGCGCCAACGGACGCGGGAGGATCAACAGCCGAGGGAGACATTGTGGAAGCTGTGCGTGTGTGTTTGTGTGTGTGCTCTGGTAGGGCTCCAAATGGTTCAGCGGCGACGAGACCAGACGGCTGGCAGCAACGAGAGCAGTGTGTAAAGGCTAGGGAGGGACAGGACAGGACAGAATGGACGAAGCGAAGCAAAGGGTCAATCGAGCCGGACGGGGTCTGGTCTACAGTGTCTGGGCTCGGCTGGATATATAACTTGTTGACAAGTGGATGGTCTACTGACGACAAGCTTCTCCCGCACCCCTCGATGTTTTAACAGCCCCTCCTTTCTCGAGGGGTCGAGGCGAATAGTCAACCCCAGTTCCCCACGTCGCAACGTCACGCAGGGTCGAAGCTTGTTGGCAGGGGGTGGGGCGCCGCCGCTGTGTGGGAATTGTTCGGTCGCTGTAAGACCGATTTTTTCTCTTTGCGACTTCCCGCTCCAATCACGACGCCGATCCTCACCCGACGACGACCATCCCCCCGCGACACCTTTGACGATAGTCGCCCAGCGTTGCCCAGTCCGATTGTTTCCTTTGCTCTGCCGCAAGTCTCTAGGAGCGCCAACCCTTTCGCTTTGCAGGTCCAGGCGCGCCGGGAGGGGCATTGGCCGCATTGAACTGCTCACTCGTCCCGCGGAGATTTTTCTGAGTGCGTTCACGTGGTTGGAGAGCCGGGGACGTCGTTGGGCCTTCTGCTTTTTCCCCTGCCTTTATCCCGTAACATCGTCGCTTCTTGTTGAGGGAGGGGGAAGCGCATCTCGCTCCACGAATCGCGACGGTGCCCGACGCGAGATCCCTTGGTCTCCCCGACACTTACTGTGCCCCTCCTACCACCAGATCCGCCGTTCCTAGTGTGAACCAAACAAACCGAACTCGTGGGCGTCGGCCCCGACTTGTTTTCCGTTCGTCCTCAACACTGGAGTCTGGGTGCATCGAATGCGACAGCGTACCTACCTCGGTCGGTCACCTACCTGTTTGATATCGCTTGCATGGATGCGCCTGTGGTCGTCTCAACCGCCAGCGCACGCAGCTGGAGTTTAAGTGCTTTGGCTTTTGGTTTGATGTTTTTAAACCCCCCAATTTTGCTGCAGCATGCGTTCGAATTATGATACCCCGTCTGTTACATGGACACGCCGGGATCGGGCGATAGCCGCTCCGGTCTCTACGGCCTGCCAGATAGGGCGCTCAAAGTCACAGAGAGAGAAAAGATTGACAGCGGCCTTGACGTTTAGACTTACACCCGATAACACCGCTGCACGGTTGGTTATCTACCGACTCTCAGGCGTCGCAAGAATGATAGTTGTCGTCTTTCTTCCTTCACCTGACGTGAGGCCCACGATTGACCCAACTTCCTCTCACCTTGACCGCATCGTGCTACCGGCAATCGGGGAAAGACCTAGACTATACCCGCCCGCAGCGCAGCGCATTCGGGACTAGAATATCCGAGGAGAAAACTCGGACCTTTTGTACCCTCTCGCCGTGTTCGTCATGCGCCGCCCAGACTTGGTCTTTGGCCCGCCGGGCGACGAATGGCGCTACGAGACATCGTCGCGAACCTATGATCTCACCCGGGGCCGGTCTCCGGCTTGGACGGTCGGCACCTCCCAGGGCCCCACGGAGACCTTCACATCCGTGAACCCCCACAGCACGGCGCTCGTGATTGTCGACATGCAGAATTACTTTCTGCACCCAGACTGTCGCGACCATCCCGCCGGGCTGGCCGCGGTCGACAAGACCGAGAAGGTCATTGAGAAATGCCGCGAATTAGGCGTCCAGGTACGGCGGCCGCGCTTATTTTTGTCTTTTCTCCATTTTCCCCGCCAGTCGGACTCGACGCCGGGGTTTCTCTGTGCCCGGCAGAGAGTGGGAGAGCTGTTGCTGCACCCGCATTGCATCGGAGAGGTAAGGTAGGGTCAGGTAAGCTGGACGGCAGCGGCTTACACAGCAGGGCGTAACGTTGGCTTCGCTTTTTTGTTCTTTGCACGCAAGTCATTCATTGATTTGAAACGGGCAGGTAATCTGGCTGAATTGGGGCTTAACCGACGATGATCTCGCCGTGATGCCTGCCAGCGTCCAGCGGGGCTTCTCCCGCACACTCATCCACGGCGCCTCCGCCGACGACAAGGTCGCACGTCTCGGTCTCGGCGGAGACCTAGGCGACGGCAAGGGGCGGTGTCTCGTCAAGGGCAGCTGGAACGCCGACATCTACGAGCCGCTGAAACGGTTCGCCCGTCCCGGGGACGTGCACTGCGACAAGAACAGGATGTCCGGCATGTGGAGCCCGGAGCAGCCGCTCCGGAGGTATTTGGACGGCGATGGGGCCGGGGTGCGGACACTGTTGTTCGCCGGGGTCAATACGGACCAGTGCGTGCTCGGGACCCTTACTGATGCGAATAACGGCGGCTGGGATTGCGTGATGGTCGAGGACTGCTGCGGGACGAAGACGCCTGGGGCGCCGGAGGTTTGTCTTTACAACGTCGCTGTAAGTCAACGCACCCCTCCGTTTGGATTTCAGCCAGTGGTTGCGACTACAAGATGTTATCGTGGGACTACGAGTCGCTTATTAAGAGTATTTGTCAGGGCTCGTATGGTTTTGTCATCAACAGCGATACCTTTCTTGCAGGCACGAGTTCGTGATGAGAGGATTCTGCGGGATGGTAGCCACATGATGCGCCGCCAGCCCTCCCTCCCGCCGCCTTGCGATTCTACATCTTCTGCCCGACGAGAACTTGAAAGAGCGAGCGAATGACTGAGTAACTGCGTAGATCAGCCCAAGCAGGGAGGAAACATGGGACGGCTTATCTTTTACGAACGGCGGTGCATGGCTGCGGCACGAGATGACGACCAATGGATGACCTGACCACCACATTGATCTTAGCTACACCCGCAAATTTAGCCTGCGGCAAGTCAGACTGAGAGAAGAATAGTCTCACGCTTTTCCGATCGGGTTGACTTACATTGACTTTGAAAGAATTCGAGGTATGATGAAAGTGGGAGAACAAAAGCGAACATATTCACCACGTCAGCCACCGAGCAAGGGCAACAGGGCTGCGATGATTTAATATGAAAGTCGAGAACCAAATAATGTTGACCGAGTAACATGGTCCGGTGCCAAGCTTGAATTCATCAGCTCCAACGGAAACGCGTCTGGGGTTGTTGGATGTTTGTCTGCCTTGCCCCGCCACACATATTCGTGGAGTCAACTTGCAACCAACACAACGGCACATAACGATTCCTCAACGCCGCGAGACCTCTCCACTTCTACCCTTCGTGACTCCTCATATGCAGGCTGTTGGTTATTCCTGCATGCGTTTTCAAAACTTCACCGCCCTTCATCGCGCACTCACTTCGACATCCCACGTCTAACACGCGTACCCATCATGGCCGACCGTGAGGCCAGCCTGAGCAGTGGTGCAACTGATGATGGCAACCACAAAGAGCTCGCTAGTAGGTGGTTTCTTCACGCCCTGTCAAGCGAGGTACTGATTTCCTTGTTTGCCAGTCAAGAAAGAGGCGAACAGCAAGCTATGGATTAAGAGCAACGGCAAGGTCGACTGGCACGCGGTGTATACCATGTTTTCCGCGCTTTTTGGTCAAGGCTGTTTCATATACTTCTTTTACCGCGTCTATCTCGCCTATGAGCGCAACGGCACGCTGTCGTGGTTGATTATCGCGGTCACCGTATTCGGAGTCCTGTTCACTATCCTGACGATATTGTATGTTGGAGTACACCTGATAGCGTGGTATCTCGGCTGTCTGTGGTGACCAGAAGTCCTGAAGGCTGTGGTCATGTTCAGAAGGATCGCGCGGGGCTTCTTTGACGACAGGCATGTATTTGGGATTGAGACTCTGGAGTGTGATGAGGAAAAGGCTCAATGAGAAATGTTCAACTGCCTCGTTACTTAGCCGCGTTGAGCGCAGAAAAGCGCACTGGAGCCAGAAACCAGTTTGAAATGCATTACCGCTTAACGCAAATGTTAGAGGCAAAAATTGGAAAATAGTGGACTGAATTTATGCTTCGTTGAATGTGAGCGTAGATGTCCTTCTGTGCAACTTTCTTGTGAGCACCGAGCCGCTTTCTCGGCTATGAGCTAGCTCATGGTATTTCTTTGAACTCGCTACCTCGTAAAGGTGACTTTACTACCACGTCTTATCATCGTGGATGATAGCGCTCACTTTGGGCGTAGACACTCTTCTGGGGCAACTGCTTATCGTTTACGAACGGCGGCGCCTGGCTGCATGCGGCTTCAATACTGGCGACCAATGGATGCCCACGTGAGGTGGATGAATTGTCTCCGAGAGAGACAGACAGAAGCCTCCCCGTCAGCACCACGAGGGCGTCTTTAGGCGTGGGGTATTGTTCACACTGTTCCGAGTTTTTGTGTAAGTGTGAGTGCAAAAGGTTCAGGCAAAGGTAACGACGTCTTGGCTTTGCGTTGCCTCTCACGATGTTTTTTGGGGTTCGACCTGGCAAACAGTTCACTCTCCCAAAGACGCAACTGAGGATGGAATTATGTGTATTCATGAGCTTCAATTCGTCGTCCAGAGCTATCTCACCGTTGGAAACCTCTCATCAGCCATTCTCCCCCCCTCAGCGGCGCCGCCGTGGCAGCTTATGCACGACAATACACACTTGCCTATGGGGCGGGCGCTGCTGACGATGACAGCAGCGGAACTCCGACCCAGGCATCCCATTCGACCAAGAAACTCCCCATTGCGATCTGGAGATGCCGAGTTGTGCATCGGGGCTGACCTCTTTCCCATCCCACCGTGACACACCAAATTCTCACACAAAGCAGGAAAAAAGAGTGAGGTTCTCAAGTTGTGTAACGCCCTGTTGCGCCCCCCAAACACCGTTTGAATATCCGTATCTCCTTATTGATGAACGCCAACGTATGCATTTGTACGCGCGAGTGATTCTTTGATGAATATGTGCTCGCTTGTTTTGGTGTGACCGGACGTCTCCGTCATGACGAGCGCCGGCGAGTACTCTCGACTTTGTTTGTTTTCCACAGGGCAAGAGGTCAACTTTTCATCCGCTGATGATGTTGACGTCGCCCTTGCAGATGCCGTATGTGCAGCATATCTCGGGGCTGGCCTGTCCGCTGAGGATGAGGTCACGCTTAAGCTGGCGAACGATGTTAGATATGCATCCGTAGATAACATGTGAGTAGTTGGGATACGAACATCTGTGCAAGGCAGAGGTCTGGCTTGGATGACGGCGCCGAGGGAAAAGACGGCAACGGCCGCGGAGACGATGGTGTTGAACTGCATGGTCGCTGATGTTGGAGTGTGTGTGTGTGTGTGTGTGCGTGTGGCGGACGGCAAGGCAGGTAAAGGAAATGTTTGGCTGGTTGGTGATCGAAGACGGCTGCGATAAGCGAAGGAGCTCTCAGAGTTGAAGCAGAGCGAGAGACGTGCGGAATGTTGGCGTTGAGCGAGAGACAGGATTATTATATGATTAGGCCGAAAGCGAGTGAAAGAGGACGGGACGAAACGGTCTTCTTCTTCCTTTCCTTTCTGCAGTGAAGCCCTCTGGTACGGCCCAGGTCGTTGCTGGAATGTTGCTGATGTCGGATGGGTAGCAAGTAACTCGGACGAAGGCCCGGCGGGAAGGGCTGGCCTTTATCAATACGGGGCCAAACAAACAACATGTACATATTTTGCGAGTAAGCACATATTCGTACACACCCACCACGCACACAGGCACACGCACACATGCATACGATACATACACATGGGGCGAGCAGGCTGTTGAGGAAAGCCCGACGGGAAGCCATGGGTGACGGCGTTAGCCCGCGCCACCTCTCGCTGCTTAATTGCTCCTTGGGTACGGGGCTACGACTTTGGGCCAACGCCCATCTCCCGCTCTGGCAGCGCGATCGATCAGCTTGGGTTTAGACCAACGGAACGTCCAGAGTCGAGGGGTTCCGGAAGGAAACAATAGACTAGAGCAAGGGGTGAGGGGCGTTCTCATCGCGCCATATGCTGCTGGGTACAGTAATGACTGGGGGAGGCTTCCCTCTGGCTCCCCTCGAATCTCAAATCTCGTCAATTCTAACGTGCGTTACTGAGACACCGCAGCGGGGTGGTTGATGTTCCCTGCTGTTGCGGAGTCATCATCAATGACAGCTGCCTCCGACGGGTTCGCACCTGCGGAAGCAGACATGTGCGCCCGTTATACGGGCGCGAGATAGAGAGCTTGCCCGGGGGGTTGTGTGCATGTGTGTGATTGTGTTCTTGCCAAGGCGCCGATGATCTGCCATCGTGGGACTATGGGTGCGTAGGGTGAGTACGGAGACGGGTGACGATTCAGTCATATGAAAACATTGATTCGCCCGCACCGAGACCCCGAGAAAAGGGAACCAGACGCTAATGCCAGTCCGTCTTCAACAGGTTCTTGGGAATGGCTAGCAAATCGGCAGGGACCGAGAATGCTGGAGACATATTGTAACCGTGTGGTGCCTGGTGGTGCCCGCCCCGTGTGTGTGTGTGCTATCAGGTACGAGAGACTAGGGTGGTCTTCGGCTTAGCGCAGATTTGGTGGAGGGGAGCTGAGGCCACGCAAAAACCGTGACGAGGAAATGAGGCGCGGCAAGGCCGACCGAGGCATTGGGAAAAGTAAAATAAGAATAGAAACTGTGGCTGAAGGTGGGCAAAAGATGATGTACGGCTCAGTCGTGGTGGACGATTGGGTAATAGACTGTGCAGATCGAGAGCCGCGGCCAGGGAGCCCGAATCTCAGCCCTACTGCAGAATGGACAGGTGAAAAGCTTCCAGATAGTGTGCCATTTATTTCGTTTCTTTTGCATAGATTAAGGTAGTCGCTTCTGCGTGTACTAAACATCAGACGACCGCAAAACGAAACATTAGTTGTGGCTACGCCCGAAGCACGCCTTTTTAAGATTGCGCGCTTTTGGGACATCGTGGGCTCGTGGGTTTTGCCTGTCCGGAAACTCAAAAACCTCTCACGTTCGTGATCGTCAAGTGTTATTCTGCGATCATCAAAACAACGTATCCGTACGGCACCACCGCGGAGGAGGTTTGCGCTTCTTCAGCCGTCAGGCGTGGTGCCTTGCTAACATGGTTCGAGTCCATGCATCAGGCCGACCGCAAACGGCGTCGTCCAACGTGTTGGGGGAGAGCACAGCAACGTTGCCCTGAGCGGCCGAGCCAATGGCAGCGACGCCGGTGCAAGGAGAGGTAGTGCGAACTAACATGGGCAGCTCGAGTGGTTGTCTTTCAAATTGCTTTTTGGCTGCCATGAGTTTTTGAAGGGAGCTTTCGTGTTATCAGACGGTAGATTGTGTCCTACTTCCCTGCGTTGACGTAGTTTCAGGATGAAGATGGACCTGTGCAACGACGACTGCACGGAAGAACGGCAGGTCTAGACTGGACTTGGCTTCCGACAGGATCTGTCTGCTCGAGATCTGGCCCGGCTGCTGTCGTGTTGGAGACATGGACGCTGCCGATTTCCCCGCCGTAACATTGCCAACGATCATGCCGTGCACCGTTTGTGCGAGGTACTGTTCGTGCAATTGACTTCGTTGAGCTGTTCCGTGCTTGCGAGACATGGCGCAGAATGCGGTTAGTTTTCAGCTTGGTGCTTGCAACCGGCCTCGGAGTGGGGGTGATTGGGCGTGGAGTCTTGGTTCTTGGAAGCCGGTCCAGTGAGGTCTTTCTTGCCGTCAAGTCTTGGAAGACTGCGTCTGTCGCAACGTCCAGGGAGCGTGGTAAGTAGGGAATAAGAAACAGCAAGACAGAACCAGCAGGTGGTTGAGTTGTCGATCACTGCGAGTGTTTATCATCACGCGCCCGCCAGGTTTCTGCCATGTGAGGAGTATTGGAAGACATTGATAGAAGATGGCTGACCCGTTCCCCTCGCTGGCTTCATTTGGGTCTTCATTGCTTGTGGTGGAAGTCCCAAAGCCTCGCGGTTGACGAGAATGGCAAACCAGCTTCACCGAGGAATGCCCAGCAATTTCGCGTCCAATGATCGAAGCCAGGCTTGGAACTTTGCGGGGCTATCGAGATTCGCGGCGTCCTCGTATTTGAATGGGAACAATGGCGGGTTGGAGGAATTCCTCGCGACAGTATGACGTGCGTTTGCGTTTGGCCGCCACGGCAAGCTGGCATATGATGGTGGATGACCTTCTTTGATGCGAGAGGAAGCAAGATGCGTCTTCTCCAACCTCACATAACACACGAGGGGAGCCCTGCCTTACATAATACAAGACCGCGGAACGATGTGCGGAAAGAACCGCCTTCTCGCACCGCCACGCCGATACAAGTGTGGCTGCAACTCCCTAGATGAATGGAATATGTTGAAGTAAAAGTTCAAGAGGCCCGTTGCCCAGGAAAGCTAAGCTTTACTACCCGCGGTCGCAAGGTCAGGGTTCGCGCCCACAAAGAGCCCCTCGACACACTCCGAATCTTGCGGCGGCTTCCTATCACCAATAGTTCGGATTGCGCGCTGATTTGAAGTCACGACTAATGGATCAGGACTCCCATTCGCATCTAGCTCCAAAGTTCGGACAATTCGTCTTCTTGGCACCCCAGCCCTTCGTTGATTGCTTCCCGCTGCAGGATGGAAGCAAAATTGCCCCGTCGTCACCAATCTCCTGCTTCCATGCATTCGGCATCGGCATTGCGGCAGCGCCAGCAAGATTTGGTCTCCATTGCGGGAACCCTGACTGCTCACACGACCAATTGCAACATTCGCAATACCCTATCTAATCGCGACGATCCAACGGGGGGTTCTGAAGCCTGAAGATAAGGAAGTCCTTCAGCAGGAAACCCTCGACTCTTTGCCCTTACGTACACTCTCTCTTTCGTCTTTGACAACCTCCCACGTCGTTTGCAGCTTCGCGGACATGGCCGTGGTGCGCTTGAACGATGCGTGGGCAATCCCGCCTTATCTTCTGCATCTGTCTCTTGGCTCCGACGGGGAGAACCTGGGGTAAGGTAGTGTGTGTGTGTGCGGATAGCAGCGATGCGCGCGAATGCCACACAGCCAGCTCCCTCACCATCGCATTGCCAAGTTTCGAGCCACCTCACCTCGCCTTCCTCTCTTTGCCCTGTCTCGTGATGCCACTGTCGAGGCTGCTGCGCATACAGAGGGCAATGTACCGAGTACTTGACAGACGAGACGATCTGCTCCGTTCCGCAACTCTCGCCTGACGACCTCCATTTTCACCGAATTTTTTCTCCTTCGAAATTCGCCATTGGACGAAAGGCAACCCGGGAATCCCGAATTCGCCTCTTTGCGTCTTCTAGCTCTGCCTTCAGACTCCAGCGCGGCCCCCCTTTACCGGACCTATCCCAAACGGCTCCCAGTTGCCGGCTGACTTCCGAGCCACACCAAGTACCCGCTACTCATACTCCAGGGACGCGCTGGTGGGGATATGTCGATTGATTCTTCAATGCCGCGGTTCCTTATCTTTTGCTCCCCCCACCAGTTTCGCGTCAGAAAGGCTAGGACGTGGTGTGTGCTCTGCTGCACCTCTGCGCAAAAATGGTCGTTGCCGTCTTTCGAGGCCCCGAAATCTGGGTACGAAAGATCCCGTAGAATTCGCGCGCGTCGCCATCGCCCTGATAAGGGCTCCTCCACTTTCCGTCGAGTGAATTGGGATATTACTGCCCCCGGGTCCGCCACCATGTTGCTGCTGTTGCTCATCGTCCAATCTTCCGTCGCGGACCTTTCCCTCCCCCTCACTGGTGATCGGTAGCTTCAAAGCGCCTTGAATTGAGTTTGCCCGTCGTCGACAAGACACCACCGTCCTCCATCATCCCGCCTTACTTCGTTGTGCCGATCCAAGTCAAGCTATGAACTTCCGGTGACCGCTTACACAAACTCCAAAGAAACCAACGAGAGATACCGAATACAGACCATGGCGGTATTCGAGACCAAAAGCGACGTCGAGTCGAACGGGGAGAAGAAGGATGTGGCCCGCGGTTACGTGGGGGCCGACGGCGTCCACCAAGAGGACTTCGAGGCGGGCACCAGCACGTATGCGAAACTCCAAAGATTGGCGGGCAAGTTTGGTGTGGAACAAAGGGGTATCGAGAGAGTCCCGGAAGATGAGCGTACCGACGACGCCATCATGAACGTTGGAACGATGGTGAGTTTCGCCGGTGAATGTGTGCGCAAAAACCAAGAGACGCGGTGGTTCTGACGAAAGTCTTCATAGTGGTGCTCCGCCAACATGGTCGTCTCGTCCTTTGCCATCGGCGTTCTTGCGATTCCGGTTTTCAGTCTCGGCTTCGCTGACACGGCTCTGACCATCGTCTTCATCAACTTCCTCGGTGTCCTTCCCGTGTGCTTCTTCTCTACCTTTGGCCCCAAGTTTGGTCTTCGACAGATGGTTCTCTCCCGGTATTGGTACGGCTACTATGTCGTGAAGCTTGGTATGTCGACTCTACCTACCTCTCTCCTCAAGGGTGGGTGCCACTAACACATGCCCAAAGTTGCCGTCTTCAATATCCTCGCATGCCTGGGCTGGTCCGCCGTCAACTCCATCGTCGGCGCCCAGCTCTTCAACGCCGTGAACCACGACATGCCAGGATGGGCCGGCATCATCATCATTGCGCTGTCGACCCTCGTCATCTGCACGTTCGGCTACCGCATCGTCCACACATACGAGCGCTTCTCCTGGATCCCCTGCTTCATCATCTTCCTCATCGTTCTCGGCGTCTTCGCCCACTCGGGCAACTTCAACAACATGCTGCCCCTGAACACAGGACCCTCCGAAGCCGGCTCCGTCCTATCCTTCGCCGCCAGCGTCTTCGGCTTCGCCACCGGCTGGACCTCGTACGCCGCCGACTACACCTGCTACTACCCGCCGTCCACCTCCCGCATGCGCGTCTTCCTCGTCACCTTCTCCGGCCTCTTCCTCACCCTCTGCTTCACCGAGCTCCTCGGCGCCGCCGTCATGACCGCCAGCGTCAACGACCCCACCTTCAGCGCCGCCTACGCCGACTCGGGCATCGGCGGCCTGCTCGCCGCCGTCCTCGTCCCCAAGCTCGGCGGCTTCGGCCAGTTCTGCCTCGTCATCCTCGCCCTCTCCATCATCGCCAACAACTGCCCCAACATCTACTCCGTCTCCCTCTCCCTGCAGGTCCTCTCCCGCCACACCGCCCGCGTGCCCCGCTGGATCTGGGTCTTCGCCGGCACCGGCGTCTACATCGCCATCAGCATCCCCGGCTACGACCGCTTCGAGGCCTGGCTCGAGAACTTCATGCTCATCATCGCCTACTGGCTCGCCATCTACGAGGGCATCAGCATCACCGACCACGTCGTTTTCCGCCGCGGCCTCGGCGGCTACGACATCGAGGACTACGACGACCCCTCGCGCCTGCCGCCCGGTATTGCCGCCTTCGTGGCCTTCCTCATGGGCGTCATGGGCGCCGTGCTCGGCATGTCGCAGACGTGGTTCACCGGCCCGATCGGCAAGCTTGCTGGCGGCGCGTTTGGCGGCGACATTGGTTTCGAGCTTGCCTTCTCTTTTGCGGCGGTTTCATACGCCGGGTTGAGAGTCGTCGAGAAGAAATTCTTCAAGAGGTAGTTGTTGTCGTGTCAGGCGGCATGTGTGGGATGATTTGTATGATATAGATGCGTTGTACATATTAAAGGTCTGAGGCGTCTACGGTGTTGGGCGTCGATACAGGGAAAGAAAGCTCTGGGTCATTTTGGGTTCCAACTTTCAGTACATGAGCTGGGCACGTCGTTCATTGTTTGTCTAGCACTTGCATGGCGGACCGAATCTTCTGAATAATTTAGCTTAGATAAAAGTATACCAGCGAGCCAATGGAAAATTGCAAAAACCAACGTGGGCTTTGACTCCGATTGCAATGTTCAATGACAACTATTTATGTCTCCCTCCTTGATCGCTTAACGCTGTGACCGTGACTCTTTCAAGTGTTTAGAGTGTCCCTTTCCAACATTCCGTTACTAATTCAAGTCTGTGTAGTTGTTGAGACGCAGCAGCATCGACGTGTTCAGCACCTAAACCTCGACTACATTTTGCTCGCACCGCGAGGCCCCATATGTGAATGTTAAAATAATCAATTCTCTTGAGACTGAGTCTCTGCTACGTTCCGTACACGTAAGTTGATTGCCGCTTTCATGATGCTCGGCGAAGGATATAACAACCACAACTTGACAAATAACATGTCGTTAGCGCTACATCTCTACGAAATAAGGTTTCAGCTATTGAAGAAGATAATGCTCACGTCACAAAATCATAGTAAATGGTTGAAAGTACTAAACGGTTCTAAATCACATTGTCACATTGGAAAGAAAAACTGCTCTCAAGATACTCATTTCTTCCTATGATGCATAAATATGTGCAATGTCGAAGATTGTCATTTTTATCTGCGTCTGCTCTTGATCTTTACGTGTAGGCTGCTGGACAGATTTTACGCTGTTAGTGCAGCAAATCAAGCTGAACAGTTACCTTATTCACGTTCATTTAATCTATTGTAACTAAGTGAAAGTGGCTCTTAATCTTAGTCTAAGATAAACCGTTAAATAGTCACTTTAATTTAGTAAAATGTGTTTTTAGCATATACTATGATAACACACTGTTTTCCTTTTTATTTCTGTATTTGACGGTCTATTTATCACTCTATTCTAACCTTTTTCGCATGAGACCTTCTACCTGTTGTGATATCTGTTCTGTCTATGTTGACGAAGTCTGCAATTTTAATGTGATAGAAAGAGCTCATAACATTCTTAGCTAAACTCCTGAACGTTTATTATTGTACTAAATATTGTTTAAGATATAACTGAAGCAAGGTCCAGAAGAAGGGAAAAAAGCACAACATCAATTAAGACTTCATCTAAGCGTACATTACTTCAAGATGCGTCAGTGTTTGTTTAGAACAGAGACATTGTTAAGGTAACGGGTAGGTTTCGTCTCATCATCCCGAGAGGGTTGGCCCCGCCTGTTCAAACTCTCATTGGAACACCAGAGTTTTGCCCATCACAGTATTCGTAATCTTCGGCATTGAAAAGATCTGGGCTGGCCCCGAGCTATCCCGCCAAAGCTTGACTGCTACTTAAACTCTAAATTGACCTGTACATATCTCAGCACCAGTCATCGTCTCAGACATTCCCGAAGAACCGAATGCAACTACTTATATTTGGCGACTAATGCAAAGGGCTTTGTGATGCTGCGTTACAGAATCCAGTATCCACGGACTAACTATGTATGCTTTATACTCCCTGGATTTTCCTGAAGCGCCAAGCAGAATGTTCCCCACCAACTAGCTGATTTCACTCAAAACTCCCTGCCCTTTGGGAAGGCTCCGTGAGTTTAACCAGCTGGATGCCAACTTTGATGCAAAATATGAAAATCGAATTACCCTCCGCCATCCATCGGTGTCGTGAAGCTCTTGCAGCTCCCCAGAAAAGAACTGCGCCTCATGTCTCTTGACTCCTATGATGCTTTTCGTAATAGCCGCGGTGAACCGGCCACGTATCCGTCACCTCAAGACTCATCGTCATCCGACACGCGAAAGCGAGCTGGTTTCTTCCTAGCCCTAGCGGCACGCCGCAAAGAGGGATCGACAATGTCATCCTCGTCATCATCGTCCTCCGAGTCGAATTCGACGCCGTTGTTCTGATAACTGGATTCGCTATCGTTCACTTCAAAGAAGGGAGCGAGTCGCCCCTTGCGCTGCGAACCCGGTGCGCGAACCACAACGTCATCATCCGTATCGATCAAAGCTAAGCGAGCTTGCGATGTTGAGGCACGTCTAGACCGCGACGGTCCCCTGGCTGTGATCGTGTTCGCGTCGTTCCGTTTTCGACCCCTTGAGCGAGACGGGGTTGCGTTGACATCAAGCTCCTCGTCAATATCCATGTGATGGATCTCAGGGCTGAGGCCGCGCGTGGTAAGCTTACGTCCACGGGCGGATCTCGGAGGGTCAAGGCCGACCGAAATCGTATCACCCTCGACCTCCTGGCTCCTGGAGGACGCAGTGAAACTTGCGTGGATTTCGTTCTTAACGTCACCCATGTAAGCCTCATCGTTCTCGGCCGGGCTCGTTGGTCGAGGGTTCTTGGGTGGCCGCCCGCGACGTTTCTTCTGGACGGGCGAGCCCGCCTCTGACTTCCCGGCAGCTGTCTGTGTCTTCGCAACTGATCTGGCCCTACTCGCAGTTCTGGAGGCACCAGGACGTCCGCGTCCTCGTCCAAGTTTGATGCGTGGAGATGTCTGCGTGGAATCATCCGCTTCTGAATCCGTGTGTAGATTCTTGGATTTCATACGACGATGCTTTCGTTGAGCAGGAATGCTGCGCTTGCTAGCGTCTTGCGCATCCTCAGACTCAAGGGACGGGTGGTATTCCTCCTCCTCATCGTCACTCCTGGCAGCCCGTTTTCTTTTCCGCCCTGGGCCCGACACGACTTCAAAATCGGCCAGTGCCTCGTAATCGTCGGCTGTCAGCTTGGGCGCCTCTTTGCGGGCTCCAGTGCGAACACCCTTGGCAATTTTGGCTTTGGCAAACTTCTGTGTAGTCTGCTTGACTGCAGCTTTTTCTGTTCGACGTCTTCCGCCCCGGCCTCTTTTGACCGGTGCTGCCTTCTCCTCCCCGCCCACTTCGCCATCTTCGTTGTCTGCCTTCTCCTTAATCATCTTCTTAGTCAGGTTGGGGAAGTTCTCGCCATAATTAAAGAACAGCTCCTCGCCCGCCTTGATACTGCGCGTGGCCGAGAAGCGGATGCGGTACTCTCCGTTGACGTAGAGAATACCAGGCTGGACGTTGGCTGCCTCCACAGCATGATTAATATAGCGGCTGAGGTTGCCATAAATAGCGGCATCGACCCAAATACCCTCATAATCCAAGAGACTGAACACGTAAGAAGTACTCTTCTCAACAGCAAAAGCCTCTCCGCGTCTTGCTTCTCTCCTGACACCCTCGTCCGCAACGATCAGCTCTCCAGTGTACTCGATGACGAACTCGTCTTGAGCAATGTCTTCCGCTGTGAAGAGGCCGTAGCCACAGCCCTCCAATTGACTCTTTCCCAAGACAACAGCCTTGCTGACACCTCGTTGAATGGCAATGTTCTGGCAGCCCGTTTGGAACAGGGCATCATCATGCCGATTTGCAGGGTCGGCGCGTTCCACAGCGCCGCAAGTCCCGCAGAGGTCGGGATCACACTCGCGGTTGAGTTGCACGCAAATGCAGGGGCGGCCTTCCTTCTGTTTCTGCAAGCAAGTCTTGCCGCTGGCATGGCAAGCACAGCCGGTGAACTTATACGCGCAGCAGTCCTCGGTACAGCGGCAGAATTTCTCGCAGAGGATGTCGTTCATTATACAGGTGCAATTTTCTGCAGTGCAGGGCCCGTCGTGGTGGCATGGGTCGTTCGAAGGGCGAACCTTGGTGTCGTGGGAATTTGTGTGATCTTGCCAGTCGCCGATGAGCATCTTCTTCTTACGATCATACCAGGGAAGATTTTTGACCCTTGCCGGTTCAAAGGTCTCCAAGGGGGGAAGAGTAATGCCCAGAGATTGTAAATGGTGGTTGACGTCCCAGCAGGACCTGTTCAGAATCTCAGCAGTCGCGCACTGAGCCTTGACCCTGACCTTGTTGTGATCCAAGATTGTGAACAGGCTTCGCAGCAAGTTCGTCTCGTCTTCCGTCCAAGGTCGCGACGATGCATCAGGAGTATTGGCGTTGATCTGGAAGCATCCCCGCTGACATGGGGGCGGAGGATCCGAATGTTCGGGGTCTTCTTTAGAGGAGATAACGCGGTTCGCCGAGAACATCCGTCCGTACATCCCGATGCAATCCATGGAGAAGTTGCGCTTGTGATTCTCAATGCTGTAGTCTCCATGTTCGCAAGAGTTGCTGTAACAGATGAGACAACCCATGACTGTATGGGTTTCGATCCAGTGCTCAAGAGATGAAGCTTTCTCATTGTCGCCTTTAGCCGCCTTCTTGGACTCGACAATCTCGTCAACAGACTTATCGAGCTTCAGCACGTCGCGCAACAGAACTCCCCGGTCTTTTGGCACCTCTTGATAGAAAACGTAATCGAAAGCCTCGGTGAAAACTCTTGCTGCCTTCAAAGCTCTCGGTGTGGCGGCTAAATTGTCATCGCTATGCAAATTGACCAGACTCGTTTTTTGTTGCGGCGTGATGGCGTCATCAGACTCTGAACTGGCCATATGACGGATGAGTGTCGTCCGGTTACAATTGTCGATGTTGAGCTTCTTGAGCCAAGAATCCAGGAACAGTGACAGGGTGGCGGTGCGCTCTTTGCGAAAAGTCCTGTTGACTCGGTCTTCGCGATTGCCTAACGTCTTGAACCCGCAGCTTGCATCCATCCTCTCAAGCTCGTTCAGCCATAGAAGGTAGTCTCGCTCCTCTTCCGGTTCCAGATCGCGGATGACAGGGACAAATTTGAGCATGGAGTTGGGAGAAAGGACGTTTTTTACGATTTCCGTGTGATGAAATCGGTACTTAGGCACGGCGTCCTTGGTTGACTTGACGCAAACTGGCAGGTAATGAGCATCTCGGCCCTGATCCGCTTTTCTCCCGCGAAAGTGTTGCTGAG